TTGTTTAAAATTTATGAGGTATCCACAATTGGTCAATAATGCTACTCCGGAAGCTCAAAAAAATGTTGCCATTACTCTTAATCCTTTCATGACTATGCACATTGATTTCAACATGTGCTCTATTGTACGCTCTGGACGACACATCTTGATTCTAGTTGGCACGCTTTTTTTGGCTTATTTTGTTGCACAGAACTTTTTTGCCAGACTTTTTGTAGTCAGTCGATAACTTGTCGAACACAAATTTCGTATTGCGACAGGTCCATGGATAGATATTTTCATTACACTGTACTACTCGGCCTCGTATACTTCGTAATACTTTCGGACGAGTTAGCCCGTCTGCTTGAATCATACAGCGGATCTGTTGGTACATACATAGTAAGGTTTAGAGGTTAGGGATATTTTGTCGCCAAGAAAAGATGGCCATATTACCGACGAGATCTCTTTATACGTGTTTGAATATACAAAAGGCTCTACGTCTTCAGAGTGCTTATTTTTCAGTGGGAAAACTATATCCTTGATGAAAAAAACATCTTCCAAACTTGTAGTACACATTTTCATCGCAGATGTTACATATCAGTAATTCAAAAACAAAGGCGCGTTAACGCAGTGTTCGAAGGCGCACTGCAATACACATGGGTTCGGTCCTTGCGCCCAAGATTCAGGAGGATAGCAGCACTGGCTCAACATACCGGTAGAGCACCCCGAGTCATTGTAAAGGCCAGATATGCATTCATTCGCCTTCAACGATGTTTAGTGAAGTCGAAGTCATGGCGCATCTCTCAAAGATACATCAACGAGGAGATCTTTGTCCTTTATCTTGTGTTTGATTCGAAAACGATTATTTTATAATGTATGACTTCTGGTGAAAGTTTATGTGGACGTATTTTTAGCGCGTAGCAGGAGTTAGCGTGGACGGAGTACACATTAATCATTGTGTAGAGTACATTTTTGGAGAAGGGCTACATATTACTAACCCATATTTTCACGACGTCTTAATGATGTCGTAAACCTTTTACTAAAAGTATTTATTTAACAATCATCAACTTATACAACGAGCACCATTCAAAAACTTGCGCTATAACCAACTTGCTCTAACTTGCCTCATCACTGGTCAACAGTTCAATTATTTGCATAGAATTTGTACTTCTCTTATATAATCAACGCTTCTTTTATCATCCCGACAATGTTTTTCTTCATCCTCTGAGTCCCTTGTCCTCAGAGCCGTCATCTTCGACGGTTTCCATCTTGTCTTCTGCATCATCAACGTCGTCGATGTCAGTGTTTACAAAAAGTGATTGAGCCAGGTTTCACGGTCTTTATCTGCAGACATGACGTTACTAAGATTTAAACTCTTCGACAAATGCACACAGTGTGCTAAGCTGCACTAACCGGAATACTACGATGAAACATGAGAAATACGCAGAAATGATTAACGAACGAGAACAAAAGCGAGAATTTCGGAAAAGAATCGAAAACACCGAGAAAATAGATATGTTATACACTATTCGGGGATTCCCGCATTTCGATTGTCGACTGCGTGTCTTCCCACTTTCTAGGAATTCGAATGCAATTGCTTTACTTTTCTCCGTTCGTCGTCTGGTCGCAACGACGGATTTCGATTACCGCGCCAAATGTAACATAATAAGATATATACGTATACACGTATATATGTGCATATATATATATATATATATATACATGTACATGCATATATATATATATTATTTGGATACTTTCATGGCCCGTTCACATTGGTTGTGTGAGCCATAGCTCAAGTTCCACTTTTTCGGAGTTTTGCAGGTTTAGCCACTGTGGTTCCCTGGCGTCCCGTGGTCAGCCTAGCCAAAATCTGCCCTAGGTCATCACCATCACACGCAATCACCACAGTTATGGATCAGAGAGAGATTTTCCACCATGCGACTAGTTTGATAGCAGGACAGTGGTGGATCCTGGTCTTGTTTTGCTCCTATTTAGGCTCCTGATGGAAACGGCGGACTTCTTTCCGACTCGGGAGACCCTGCCGGAGGGAGGAGTCCACCCGCTGTACATTGTAATCCAACAACCAGGAACACCATCCGGCCGCGATGAGGCGGTAAACCGTTGGGAGGATGTTTACATATATATGTATATTATGTACAGAATCTTGAGAATGTATATACTTGCTTATAGATTTTATACATATGCGTTTATATATATATATATATGTGCATATATATATGTGTATATATGTGTATCTATATACATACCCATACATATAAATATACATATACATACAAATGATGTAAATATGTGACGCTCCGCCTGCTGGTTTTCCTCTGCACGAGAGCAGTACTCCATCTGGTCGTTTGTATCCACGTCGCTACGATGAATAATGGTTATCGTACGGAATGAGCAGATATTTCTTAACGTTAATAGTATAAATGAATAGCGTAAAGTTCCTCCACGAAATCTGCTAATGTTCCGGCTCCTGAAATGCAATAATAATTGAAAAATTGTCGAATATTATCGCAGAACATGCATCACACGTTATGTGAAACATTATTTTTGAAAGCATTTCGTCGTTTTCTGATTTTCAGTCGCAGTAATAGCTTTAACGTACTGTGTGGTATGGGAAGATAGTGAAGTCACGAAGCAAACGCAAAATTCTTTGTACAACTGGCATAACCTTATTAATTGCTGACAGCACTATGTGAGATGCTGGACGAGTTTTCTGTCAACGCCCACAAGCATTGGATGTGGGCGATTAAAATGGTGACACGTTCAGATGATCATATCGGATATTCAGAACTTAGGGAGACGTGGAAAAATGTCAGGGGAACGATCGATAGAACAGTAATTCCAAGAAACCAGTGCGTTGTGCCACTTGCGTGGTCTCACGGACCGTAGGTCTTTATTTCGGTGCTCATTTTGGTTGCGCTCGAATAGCACGCAGTCCGACGAACCCGACACGCGAATATGGCCGCAGTCATGAAAAAATCAAGTGATTACTGCCCATAATATTCTATCGTGGCATAAGTTTACTCTTAGCTCGGTTTCCTGATACCGAGCGTCCAGTTCTCAAGTCGTGTGATTGTATAGGGTACAAAGTGCTTTTTTTGCACCAATGTTTGACGTTTAGGAATATTCTCTAGTTACTGGGCGGTAAACCGCTATGAAATCCCTAATTATTGGGATAAATTCTAATTTTTTTTTGAACGTCTGAAACACTGCATTTGGACATGTTAAATTTAATGGTTATTGGAGAAAAGCGTATTTTGCTAACCTGAAAAAGATTGTGTCCAGTTGTTCATATTTTAATTTGTCACTATTCAGCTAATTCATCGCAACCATCGCCCCCAGATAGTAGTTACATTAAGCGTTTCGATCCCGACATTAATCGAACGCGTAGATCGACAGCAGAGGAGATTATCGCTGTTGTTCGTAGTCAGGTGCACACGACTTTGAAAGTTTTACAACTGTTTGTAAGCTTTATTTTAATGAATTGGGGGTACCGGACGCTTTTCGTTTCTTGCCGAATCGTAAGTGCGTATGCGTTACAAGGTGCTGGATTTTAGGATATATCTCTATTGCGTTCGATTTTGACGGTGAAGAAGTGGCCTAATCATTGTAGTATTGGAGCTCATCTTGATGATATCTTTGAGCTAGTTGTCCGTGATAGTCATGACACCGATGAAGCAGTTCTGTTTTTCCGTGACTTGTAAGTTTTGCAGTTTCTTCTTTCTGCAAAGTAATGTTTTCTTGCAATCATCTAGTTCCTTTTCAATGTTCGCGATTTATAATTGAAATACGCATATGGCTTCATTTCATAAATAAACATAAATATAACTGCACATTTCTACGAGTTGATTCTACGCCATTATCACCTTCTTCGTATGCTGTCTCTTTATATTCGTCTGTTATTGGATTACCGGTATCATCTGTCGTCCTCTTGATCGTCGAGTGACTCGAACCGGTGCTACTAAATCTTCCATTTTCCCTGTCGCGTGCAAGAGTAGCCCAGTGGTGTTCTGGTTCTGGTTCTAAGTTATTGAATAATTTCTATAATATATTTCAGTGCTGCATGTAACCGCCGTGGTTTCCTCCACGACTCGAATGGTGTTCGGTTGGCCTCTCGTGTGGCTCGTGATAGTGGTTCGTTGCAAGCGGCGATGGAAATTTTGCGTGCCTTCCGCAATATGTTTCTTGTTCGATCTCGTGAGTGCCAATGAAAGATGTTGCTTTGAACACCACAATAAAAAAGACTATTACTTTTTTGAAATAGTTTTCTGGTTTAAGCCGATACGACGAGGTTCTCAACTCCCGAACGGATTCTGGAGGACTTCTACAAAACTGTTTGTTCTATTGGTTGGTGGAAACTTTCCTGTTCTTTGGATTTAATTCTAAGTTTTTACAGGTATTTAGCAGATATAAGCTTTTGATTCAGGACTTAGACGTGAAGTAGAAGAATTACACAAGTTGATGCTTTCTCATGGATTTGACAAGAACTCGAACGTTTTTATTAGAGTGTTTACGAGTCATTCACTTGTAAATAAGTGAGTTTTGCACCTTTATTTCTTTTCCTTCGAAACCATAGTTATTGCTGTTGTCTTGTTTGTTCACTCACACTTTTGACTGTTTGTCGTGACAAGTGACTAAGTGGCCACGTAAAAATTACAGTGACTTCATTACCGTGTTTGAAAATTGGAAAGAGTTGTCATCACGATACGGTACAACGTATGCATCTGACTTGATATGGAAAGGAATATTTGCGAAAATTTCAGATAGAAGAAAACAGGTTCATTTAGCCGGTAGGTATTAGATTAGTTAAGTTGTCCTAACCACAATGATGCTGAGGTTTTTGCAAAATTCCTGACCGCTGGTGTCTACGGTGGTAAGCGAACACACTATGACCCTTTCCGGAGGCTAGCGTGTTCACCACCACACCATGCGAGTCCTTCGTTTCGCTTTTGTCCCAGCCGTGTTGTTAACCTATAAGTGTTGTCTTGCTACCTTTGACAAAATAAATTACATTTCATTAGAAAGTTTCATTTAGGTGAACTTCTTGAACACTGCCGGCAATACGACCATCCTTCAGCCATTATTGCTAATGTCCTCATCGTATTGATTCGATTAAATCAGATCGATGCTGCAAGATCGATATTCACCAAGGTTTTAATATTTTATTTTAAGGATTCTTGTGTAAGTACATCGCACCGTTTGCTATATGAATCGTATATGAATCATTTCATCCTAATTTACTCTATAATGGGCACATCATAGTCTTTTGAAGTCTATCTAATTCTTATTATTTTAGGTATCAATTCCGGGAAAGTTTTTTAAGAGGCCCATACAATGTATTGATCGTAATGAGGTTTGGTTTTTAATTCGTACTGCATTGAATTTCACTGTGGTTTTTCCAACTATACATCTTTGGTAGGCCGCGTGTTGGTCAGAGGTGGGAAGCGCCCTGCAATACACTTGGGTCCGATCCCAGCGGCACAGGCTCATCAAGCTTTTCATACCTCTGGGTTCGGCAAATTGGTACCAGACTTCTCTGCGAGGATAGGAGCACTGAATCGATGCATCCGTAGTCCACTGCGATTCCCTGTAAACTCCAGATTAACATTCAGTCACCTTAAACGTTGCTTAATGATATCGAATGTATGGCGCATTCCTCAGGGATTGACCAACGCAAAAAATTTTGTTTCTTTATGCCGTGGTAGCTTCTTAAATTTGGATGTAATCAATTTTTTAGGATATGCTGAAACTCATTGAATGTTTTGCATCGTTAATAACGGAATGTATGTTTGCTGAGAAACGACGGTCTAGATCTTTCGAAACGCCAGTAAAGTCATCGGTTTGTCTGTTTATGCCAAGTCTTTAATATATTGATCGAGTGGAAGAGTGCTACACAGAGCACTAACCTTCCTAAACACATGTTCGTTAACAATGAGGTGGTTTGATTTTTTGGAATTAAAAAATTAGCTTAGTTTATTGTTGGTAAGTGCTTCGCTTGTGTTTGATTGCCCGATTTTTTAGTCATCGTTTCTGTCAACTGAGTTACTCTCAAAATTGGACTCTTTCTATGGCGTGGGACGTCAAAGGCATCGGAGAAAGTTCAGTCATAAGGAGGAAAAGCCCAAACTTCATCGCATTGATGACGAACAGTTATTCGAGCTTTGCGAATTTGTACAATTTATATGGATGGAAAGAGCAGGTGAGTTTCTTTGTGACAAGCCGTGTTTCTTTTTTCTCGGACAGTTCTCTTTTTCAGAACTTAGTAGTGACTTTCAATCTATTGATCGCCTTGTTTCGTGGAGTGTCAAAAATAGATTGGAGATTTCGCCAGAAGTAAATAAGCGTATCGTGAGGATGAAATGCACTGCTCAGTCTGGAAACGCGGTCATTGATTGATGTGCCTTGGCCCTGATCACTTTTTTTTCTTGGTTTGTTAGATTGTTTTTCAAATGGTGATTTGCCACTTTCTTTAGATATGGCGTTGTTACTTGTTGTCATTCTTGTTATGAAATCAGTTAGGTTTAAGAGAGAGATCCTATTTCAATTATTCTTTAAGAAGTATATGAAATCTTTTTTTATTAGTTCTCTTACTAGAATAGCTGTTGAGTATACTTTCATAGCATTGTATCCAACATTTTTCTGTTATCGATTATCTCAGAGATCTCTTCTTCGAGAAAAAATGAACTAAGTTGTTTCATTGGAAGGACAGATAGTCTTATGTCTGAGAACATCTGATATCTTGATGCACTTAGTGTTGACCAAATGATGCCGTTTTAGAATTTCTAGATTGTTAAGGACAATGATTGGGTTAAGAAGAAGGACTACTGCTGTTCGGTGCGTTTCGTTTTCGTAATAGAATAGGAGCAGTTGCTATAGAGTTTAACTACAGTCGCCCTTAAACGTGTTTTCACTGATTAGCGAACAAGCTCCAGTGGTGTTTTAGTTGGTTCCTGTTCTGTGTATAGTTAGGTTCTGCGAAGCAGTCAGTTTGATCCTTTGTTAAAATCCCTAGAAGTCAATCGTTGACATCTCTTGCGTTACCCTTGACAGTCAGTTATGCCAGTAAGTAGGAAAGAACAAAGGAAATTCGAGTCAAGTGCTCTTTTGCTTCTTCACTCCTCTCCGATGTTTTTAAAAGTATTTCAAGGCGTTCTCTTTCTGTTGCTCCATCGACATTCTATCGTCCATTAGTTTGGACTTTCCTAGCTATATGCAGGTGGGCCACTTATGGATATTTAACCCAATGATAGTGAATGAAGTACTAGTAACCCACCTGTTACTACACCTTAAGTCCTAGGTAGTACGTACTTCACTGGTGCTGTTGAAATCGGTGAACCTTAGTTATGCTTAGAGTATACCGTCGCGCTTTATTCTTGTTCTAACTCATTCCTGCTTTCTGTAGGAAATTGTGCTGGATACTTTACAGTGATGGTTATCGCGGTGTCGAACCGCCATCTTTACGCAAATAAAAGTATGTAGTCAGGATTTCATTTTAAAATTCAGAGAGGCGTAACGTCACGACTGACGTTATAGGAGTGGTTTAAATCTGTTCGACGTTCTTTGTATACTAACTGAAGAACTTCTGAGTATCCATCACTTCCACAGATTCGTTAGCTTTTTTCTCAACAAAATCGAAGCCATGTAAGGAAAAGTGATAGCTGTCATGTGTTCTCGCAGTACTGCGATAAAATTAATAAGTGATTTGGAATGGTCGTATGTTGTGCAGTGGTCGAAGGCGCCCGGCAATACACAAGGGATCATTCCCCACGTCCCAGGCTAACCAAGCCTTCCATCCCTTCGGTATCGTTGAATTGGTACCAGCATTGTCTGGGAGGATAGCAGCACCAGCTCGTTACATCGGTAGGCCACTGCGAATTATTGTTGACGCAAAATGTGTATTCACTCACCTCCAACGGTGCTTACTGACGTCCAGTTCATGGCGCGGACCTCAAGGATTGATCAACGCGGAGAACTTTATCCTTTTTATCCTTTTGGAGTAATCTACCATACCAATCTCTTTTCTAAGCATTTGTGCTCTAGGTCCAGTGTTTCGTCATCGACAAGCATGCTTTGAGTAAGGATTTTGTGGGCAAAAGATAATAAGCAGATTAAGGAGTAGTTGACAACTCGGTCTCATATGCCGTGTGGTTTGATGTTTTAACATCGGTTTTATTCGAAGAACGAAGTTTTGTAGGCGCAGAGATTCACTCTATGTACTTTCATTCTTAGTCATCTCGTTTATTTTTTCGCATAACTTTTCTGCTAACGCCCCTAAAACGATACGCTGAGCTTGTTGCAAGTTGTAGCAGAGCTCACAGGAGTTGTTAATATTGTTGAATAGAAATAATCATTCCTTCCTTCATGCCTTTATCCCTTAAAAACGGTTTCCCTTAGAGAGAGTCGTATTCTGTAAATTATTGAGATTCTGGTACAGTGACACCTTATACTCTATAGATACCTCAAAGAGTTTCAAAGGACATGGTTGTGGTGCATCGTTTTAAGTCCTTTTGGAAATCCTAATTGGTAGAAATTTTTTTTATTTTGGTTATTTCACATGATTTGGCACCACATATGTTGCTCAGATACTAGCACATTTCTCATTCGTCTCGTTTTCTCCCATCCGTCATCAGTGAAGATCTTTAAATTTGGGTGTGAGTTCAGCTGACATTCGAGGACTTCGTTTTCATGAATGCTGCGGAGTGGTGGTCAAGTTGATTATCCCTAGAATCTCGAAGTAACTATGCTAGGGATTCCTAGTGTTTCGTCACAAGCAGGTGCTAGGTCCCTTATCGGACGGAGGTTTTCTCAGACAAGCGTGCTATTAATATCGAAACCCTCTGGCTGAGAGGGGTGCTTAGCCCGGTAGGAGGTGGGACCGGGGTCTTCCGCGTCTCAAGGGTATCTATGCCACTGTGTTACCCACGCGCTGTGCACCATTATAGCACTATTAAAGTTAAAAATACAGATACCTGTTGCGAAGCAAATTTTGATGTAGGCTTTAATATTTAGTTCGTTCACTTGGTGTTTTTATATGCGCATACGATTCAATGAGAGAAAGCATTAAGGATTGCCATAGGCGCATTCTTACTTTCTATTCCACTAAGGCCTAAATCAACACAATTTTTTGTCCGGTTTTCCTAAATTCCTTGTTTAGATCGAAATATGTCAAAGACGTGGTGGTTGCTTTATCACGTTTATTGTCTGAGCAACCAAAAGGCGAGACTTCTACGAAAGGCAGTGACCGTGGTGTAAGGAAGGTAGGTGTATCTGTAAACTGTAATACTTATTTCACTCATTCGAAACCTTTCTATCTTTCAGTATGTAGTCAATATTAGTGTCTATGGGGCGTGTGTAGCGCATTGGTCGGAGGCGCCCCATTGTGGACGTGGGATCGACCCCTGCGCTCCAGGTTCGCTAAGCCTTCCATCCCTCCGGGGTCGGCAAATTGTTTCCAGACTTTTCTGGGGGATAACAGCACTGGTTAGATACATCAGTAGGCCACCGCGTGTCATTGTAAAGGCCGGATATAGATTCGATCACCTTCATCAATGTTTAGTGAAGTCGAATTCGTGGCGCATCCCTTAGGGATTGATCAACGCCGAGAGCTTTATCCTTTTTTTAGTGTGTTAATCTGTTTTACTCGTATTCTAAAGTCTATCGTTTAGTGCTTTTAATGTGCTTGTTATTTTGGCGGTTGTATTTTCTTAGTTTCTACCTTCTCTACCTGCTGAACATTTCCGCCTGGCAAATAAACACCGCGAGGCGTTGCAATCCAATAAGGCGGAATCTCTCCAAGAGATAATCGACCAGTGAGTACTAATTCGATATTACCACACTAAAAGCATTTGGTATCTCCAATTTTCATGTTATTTATGTTAACTGATTTTTATTGGCAACATTTCGATTTCTTTGAAGCATCGAATGGCGCGGATTCGTGTACAGCCAAACGCCTGAGAAGGTATTTTTTAAATAATATATTTACTTTGATATTCGGCTTAGCTCTTACCTCTTACTCGATATTTGTCCAGATTGTGAAACGTCTTGGCGATCCTAGGGAGGACCTCTCTTCCCTTTCTGATAGACAACTTTCTGTTTTGCTTTCTACTTTTGGAAAGGCATGTGAAGCACAGAGCTGTTTGCATCGGGCGATTTTTTTGGATCGGGCCGTGCAGGCTCTACAAGAAAGAGGTTTGTTGGACTTCCTATTGCTTGTTTTATTGAATTTCTTTTTGTTATTTGTTATTTGCATTATATTTTATTGTCTTACCGTTTGTTATTTGTTTACTTTAGGAGTTACCCTTGGTCCTCTTTCTCGAAATGCTATTTTATCGGCGCGTGTTGACAATGGCGAGAACATCAGCGTTATCGATGAACTCAAATCCTGGGAGACTGAGAACTTGTCACCCAACGTTGTAACTTTCGGTTGTTTATCGAAAATCTATGCGGAAAAGGCAAACACTCAAGGAATTTTGTACGTTTTTGTGCCATGAAGTTAGACACAGCTTTTTTCCCTATTTCTTCTAAGTTAGGTAGAGAGAGCCTAACTTATCTGAAAGGATAGGATTTTTTTGCTTAGGAAATCTTAACAGTAGGTATATTTGAAATGTAAGCTTTTTCATGGTGTTTGATAACTCGTAGCATAGTAGTGATGATGCATTCATCACCTAAAATCTTGAATTCCGATTCCAATTTCAATTCCCACGACAGACTTTCTTTTAACCTCGGCATTGATTGATAATTCGATGTTTTTCTTCAATAAGCAGACGCGAGGTTGTTATTATAGGATTTATTAGGATACAGTAGCTGACGTTTCGGCGGTTTCGCCGCCTAATAACAACCTCGTGTTTGCTTATTGAAGGAAAACATCTTGAATTACTGTCAGTGAAACTTAAATTTACTGAAAATGTAAAAAATGAGATGAAAATTTGATAGGAAATGGAATTGAATGTAGTGAAATTGAATGAAAAATGAAATTATTGTGAGGGATGCTTTTAAGTCTTCTACCATTAAGAAGGGCTATTAAGAAAAATCTTACATTAGTTAACCTTTGCTTTTTCGGACTGGTTGAATGCTTTGTTGGTGTAGGGCTTTCTCAAAAGGTGCTCTTTGGCTGTGCATCGCACCACAACCTCAGGAACTGTAATCGAAAGCAGTACATAAAAATATTTTATGAATTTCAATGAACTCTTCTAGTAATTCTTTATAGGGATATAATTAATCATATGAAAGCCAACGATGTGCCAGTATCAGAAACGGTGTTAGAGTCGCTCATTTATTCAGTTGCCAAGAATGGACACTACAGCAGTGCTGAATCTCTTGCTAAGGTATTCCGGTGTAGTACTTTTTCCTTTAAATCATCCGTTCAGAAGCGTTGCAGTACTTTCCATGTTTAGAAATTTGTTGCGAACGTGAACGAAGTGCTTCTTCGCACTGCCATTGCTCGAGCGGCTATAGCTCGAAGTGATTTTTCTGTTGTCGTAAACACTATCGCTTCCATTCCAAGTACTGCAAAACTGAATCAAGTACTTTGTTTTTGCAAGTCCTCTTGCCTTGCTATTTTTTAGTTGAATGGCCTCTTATTTATTTAGGTGTCAAACAATACTTATATATTAGATGTTTTATTTGAGATGTTGGATGCGGGGCAAATGGATGCCATTGAAAAGGTAACCTTTAAAAAGATCTAGAACTTTTTTCCCAAGAATTACGGGTAACTAACGCTGTAGATTTGTTTTCAACTGTCTAGAATTGCTACTATATCGTATTACACAATGATGCTGAGATATTTACAAAACTTCGGACCTTAGTTGTCTGCGGTGGCGATGGAACGCGTGCGCTATTACCCTTTCTGGGAGCAAACGCGTTCACCACCACGCCTTGTGGGTCCTTCGTTTCGCCTGTCTCTCAGCTAGTTCTCTGTCTATCTTTCTATCTATATCGGATTGCATTGGTTTCTTGTTGAAATCACTTTTCTAGCTATCTCCATATTTGACAATGTCGTCTGAAGGACCGTATTTGGCTGAATGGCACGTGAACCCGAAAGTTCTGGCGCGGGCACGTCTCGCTTGCACAGAAGGAAAACTTCACTCTGCTGTTAAGCTGTACACACTGTTGCATCCAAAATTTAAAAACAGGTTTTTTTTACCCACAATCTTCCTTTTTTCTCTCGTGGATTTCACCACTCATGCCTTTCTGCAGCAATTTTGAATCATCACTTTTGGATGCGTTGGCAAATCGCTTAAGGGATACTAGTCAGCCTCTAGATGGTATCTTCAGTTTGGCTGCTTCTATGGAGAAAATCGGTCTTATGAAGTAACGACTATAACTGAGTTTTCACAAACTATTTTGTTTTTCATTTTTTGTTTTTCTTCATTAATTACATCTTCAGGGATCATAATCTCTTCCTTCTCGAAAGATCTACAAGTAGCAGCCGGATTTGCGACATCATTGCGAGCTTACGGTCGAATGGTACTCTTGAGAAATGCCTTTCAGAGAAACCTTCACTAAGGAAAAGTCTTGCACGTGGACTGAGTGATAAGGTTAGGTTATAACATATTCGTTATGATCCTCTTTTCAATGATAAATGTGCTTTGGGACCTGCGAAACTCCTAGAACAGGCTGGACTATCCCTTCTCATTCTATGGATGTTTGTGATCTTTATAAAGTTTTGTTTTTATTCTGAAGTTAATTGGAAGTGCATTTTGAGAAGATTTGATCCAGGAAGAGACCTACAAAACTATATCTTGCTTGATTCGTGTTTGTCGTCAGAATATTTCACGCATTGTTTGCTTACGTGTATACTTGGATGATCCGTCTTCACTTGTTGTGCGACGTCTAGCGTAATTGTCATTTTTTCGGAGATTCGGCGGTTTAACCATTGTGGTTCCCCGGAGTCCCGAGGTCAATCTGGCCAAAGTCTGTCTGCCCCAGGTCGTTACCACCACCTACAGTCGCAGCCATTTTGGATCAGAGGGAGATTTCCACTATGCGACTAGTTTAATACCAGGACGGTTGTGTACCCTTGTATTGGTTTACTCTTAGCTCGGTTTCGTGATGGAAATATCAGACTCCTTCTCAGCTTGGGTGACCCTAATTTGGCGAATGAATCCCCGGCTGTACATCGCAACGCGACAACGAGGAACACCTCCCAGCCGCGATAAAGCCGTAATCATTGGGAGGACGCGTTGCTTAAGGGTATTCAAATCTGCAATGGCCTATTTTTCAAATAATAAAATTCGACGCGAGTTTTTATTTGTTTTCTCATAGACCATGGGGTGAATGATTTGTAACCACTTATGTATTGAAATCATGTGAAGTAATTTCAGTTCACCAATCCAAGTGTGGAGACGGAGGAACGTATCTCTTTGCTTGCGGACCTTGCAACTGTGCTGTTCTCACAAGATAATGAACGAACTGTACAAGAGATTGTGGAGTTGTATCCTATCATTTACGTATTGGGTGGGAAAGGTAAATCTATAATGCTAATATTTGTTTCGACTTTTGAGCATAATTGTTTACTTTACTGAGCATTCCAGTTTGTACGAGCGGTCCTAGTTATTGCTCCTTGGGTGTTAAATTTCTAAAGAACGCAATTAGGACTGTATAGCCCGCCACACTATGATCTACAATCATGGGCTATTCAAACAGTATGAGTTATACATGGATCATGTCCTTCTTGTAGATTTTTCCCTTGCTGGAGTGAACTTCTTATGTGTTGTTTTTGTGTTAAATGGACAGCTTCTCTATAACAAATGTTACAACACACTTTGGGCAAAGCTGTTTTTTAAACATTACAACTTCTAAGAGGTGATGATTGAAACCAATTTCTTTCCATTAGTCCTAGGATCGATCCCACTCCTCTGGTCCACCAAGCTTTCCACCTCTTCGGGGTCGGCAAATTGGTACCGGCCTTTTCTGGGCAGAAGGCAGGCAGCACTGGCTCGACACCTCGGTAGGCCACTGCGGGTTATTGTAAAGGCCAGATATGCATTCAGTCATCTTTAAGGATTTTTAATGAAGTTGAATGCATGGCACATTCCTCAGGGATTGATCAAAGCAGTGAGCCTTATACTTTGTCCTTTATGGGTCATACTGCACCGAGAAAAGCCGAAGTCATATCGCAACCATTTAAAATTGTCGTTGCGAATTTTGAAACGGTCGGGGAAATTTTAATTAATAATGAATGCAGGGATTTAATGGAATATTCGTTTACTTTAGTCTATAAGTTAACACTGAATTTTACAGTGAGTTCTTTTTCAGACGTTAACCTTGCTATTCCTGCGCTTGAAACTATTCACTCAAAGCATATCCGTAAGGAGTACACAACAGCACTTGTGCAACAATTATTGAGAAAGGGAGATCCATTATCTGATGACAAGCTTGAAAAGCTGTTAGGCAGGTGAATAATATTGTGCAATTTTTTTCTTTTTCCGTTCCAATTAGTTCTATTTTAAAACAAATATAGACGAGAACTCTATTCTAGCAAGGCGGTGGAGTCACTAAGCGTAAGTCGTGTACATAAGCAAATCTCTGGACTTGTGCTAAATCGTGAAAAGAAAGAAGGAGCATCTGATGTGCGTCAGTTATATATAGCAGCGCGTCTGCTTTCTCTTAATTTCCCACGTAGGTTCTTGTTGCGGTCGCTTTTTACCTAATTTACGCGTATAATCGTTTAAATGGTTGATCTTATCTTCTAAAAATCGTTGGCGAAGGTTGCAATTTTTTGCCTTTCAGCCGAAAACGTGAAGACGAATTCTACAATAGCAGCAAAATATGTAATTTCACAACTCCAATCTGAGCTCCTTTCCATAGATCGTGCACGCTTGCTGATATCATTTATGGAGAAAGAGGTTATCAATTTGATTGTTGACAGTATGATTTTCCTGATATAGGATATAGCATCGGTCATTTAACTATGTAATAATGCAATACGCATGGGATCGATCACTGCGTCCCATACTCACCAATCCCTCCACCCTTCCGGGTTCGGCAAATTGGTACCACACTTGTCTAGGAGGATAACAGCACTGGCCCAATAAATCGGTGGACCACCATAAGTCGTTGTAAAAGCCAGAGATGCATTCAGTCACCTCCAACGATGCTTAATGAAGTCGAATGCATGGTGCATCCTTCAGAGATTGATCGACAGCTTTTTTCTTTTATTTAAATATAGCTTCAAACTCGTGTTATTTGCTTATAGTAAAGTTTGTCATTCGATATGAGAATGATTGGAACTTATATGGCTTTTCTAATAAGTTATAGATTACTTATTGCTTTACTACAAAACTGATTTTCTCACACCTGCAATTTCTCTGAGAGAACTTTCAACAATGACTTGGTTGTTAAGATATTCCCAACATTTTGTTGTTAACTGATCGGCAAAGTTATTGTTGGTTGATGATCGATTTGAGAAGTATGTTGGAAGAAGGAGAGTTCTATCTTTTGATCCTCTCATATTTTGCAGTATTTTTCCTCCAAGGCATTGTCAGACTTTGTCATACAATAGCGTTGGTGGTATTTTCACTGACATATTGTAGTTCTTGGTGCATCTGATCGTTTCCCTTTCGACCTTTTTTTCGTGTTAATCTCGCTATGATTCAAGAAGCGTGAGGATAGAAATGAATGAATGGATGATCCTACTTGTTGATGAAATCAACAATTAACTCTGTCTTCATGAAAATTCGTTCCGAGAATTAGTGCCGCACCTTGACCTAAGTTGTACCGAATATCGCCGACTATCTTACAAAGTTATGTTTTAGTGAAGTAATCAATTTTGGACTAAAGAGCGGATCGTTCTAGGTATGCAAACGAAGCACAGACCTTTCGCAAACTTAATTTTTTTGCTTAGCTTTCCGTGTGTATCTTATGGACCTCTTTTTATAAGTCCTACCTTTTCCCTCTCTGGTTTCGTTCTGCAGTTCTGAAATTATTGTTTTACGTATGCGTTGCTATCTATCCGTTTTTACTAGACTTGTTCCATATAACGTATTAAAATACTCATCAGTGATGTCAATGGGTGTCTGCCCTTTTCCCTTCATTGCAGTCATCTCGAAAATTATGAAACGAGCGTTATAGCACAAAATCGTTATGGACTCGCATTGGTGCAGTTGCATATCCAGTTTCGAGGTGGCAGGGAACTTGTTGAGATTTCCTTGTTTTTCAGCTTTAAATTGCAATGTCGTGTGTTAAACATAAGCCGGCATAAAAAAAACATTGGCAGTAAAAAAGGATAAAGTTATCGCTGTTGATCAACCCCTGACGGATGCGCCATGCATTCGACTTCATTAAGCATCGTTGGGGGTGATTGAATGCTCATCGGGCCTCTACAATGACACGCGGTGGCCTATCGATGTATCGAGCCAGTGTTGTTTTCTTCCCAAACAAGTCTGGCACCATTGTACCAACCCGTAAAGGATGAAGGGCTTGATGAGTCTAGGGCGCGGGGTTCGATCCCATCTGTATTGCAGGGTGCCCCCGACTATTGCGCTGCACGGGTTCCCTATTTACGCTAATAATGCGTGCAAAATCTAAAGTTAACAGCAAAGGTATGTAATACATGCGCGAAGGCGTATTTGACATGAGTCTATGGAAATGCATAGTTCAAATGTTAAAACTTTTACGACTAATAACTTAACTAATGTTTTTACTCCTTCTAGCCACGGATTCGGTTTTCATCAGAAGACATTGCGCTTGGCAAAAAAATATTGGCAGAAAAAGGTCAAAAGGCGAAAGCAGATTTGTTGGAAAAGCTACGAAAAAGAAATCAAGTTCGTCATAGTTGTCTTTTTTATCTTGTATTTGTAATCAGAAGTAAAATCCGATTATATTTTTAGACATATGCAAGATGGTTAGGAAGTTCCTTGGAGGATCTTGAACAAGAACTTGTACATATTCGTGGAAACCCTAATCATAGACCAGCTGTAGTGAACAGTATACAGGAAGTGATTCTGAAAAAAATTTCTGCTGAGAAGGTTACAGTGTTATTTTGCCTATTTTTTTGCACTTTTTTGTTCTTTGCTATTTCCGTAACATATCAATTCCTCATCAACAGTCATTTTCTAGGTATTAAATTATGAAAAGATTGAACATCATCTTCGTTTAATCAAGGAGTCGGATTCATCACCAAGTTCACATATTACTGATTTGGCTAGAAAGATCTTTTCCAGTGCAATATGCGCAGCTCTGGCAGAGCAAAATTTCGATGTTGCGCAGAAGTTATGGGAGATTCGGTGATTTTTCTCATACTTTGCTAAATCTGAGGTTTCAGAAGTCTTCAAATTGGTTAAGACTAGGATACCGAATCCCTTGTTTCTTTTTCTCGTTTTTCTCGAAGGTAATTCTCCATTAAATGTGAGTATGAGTCCGTCGTTCTGTGTTGTATGCAGTTCAGAGTGTAGTAAAACACCGTATTTGGATGCTTGGATGCTCCGTCTTCATTTGTTTTGCCTGCTTCAGTACAATCTCCATCCATTTTCTGAGTTTTGCTAGTTAGCCATTGTGGTTTCCTGGAGTGCCAAGGTCAGCCTAGCCAAAGTCTGTCTCAGTTCGTCAC